GATCTCCTCTTCCCTTCCAGAGCGAATGACGCGGGCCTTCATGGCGATGTCACCCTTCAGGGAGGCGACAACGTCAGCGGCCTGCTTTTCCTGGTACCAACCAACAGCGGCGTTGAGCAGAAGAATGGCGACAATCAGACCGGCATCGAGCCAATCCTGCAGGGCGAAAGCGAGGATAGCGGCACACTCCATGACTGCATAGGGAATTAGCGTTTGGCCTGTAGTGTTTCACGGCTGTCATGCTTCGACAGGCCGCAGCGGGCTTGTGCTCACCGTAGAGAATGGGACCGCGGAAGAAACCGACGAACTTGAGGAACATGTTCTCCTTCTCGGTGGTGAGTTCGTTCCAGCCGCTGTACTTCCTGCGGCGCTCGACTTCCGTGGGGTCAAGACCCTGCTTCATGTCGGTCTTGAGCCAGTCGGCGGGGGTGACGAAGCCGCTGGAGCCAGCGCCTTCGGCGGCGGCCTTCTTCCAGAACATCCATTTCGGGACCTTCTTGGCAGTAGGTGCCTCGGTCTCTTCAATCTCGGCATTGGGGTCGCGGTAGGTCTCAATGTAACGGACTAGACTGTTGTCGGGGTGGAAAGCTGTCAGCCTCGAAGAGCTTTGTTGGAGGGGAGATGGGAGGAGCCAATGGCGTGTAAGATGGGTGACAACTCACGATCTGTACTCCTCGTTGGAGCCGGTCTCGCCAGCAGCGCCCTCGACCCGGTTGTTCCTGGCGCGCTCCTGGATGAAGTTGCCGGTCTCGAGGTCCTGGTCCTCATCCTCAGTGCTGATGGGTTGAGGGTAGTGCTTGTTGCCTCCTTTTCCTATTAAGCCCGCCATTTTGTATGGTGCCATAAACTGTCGGAAAAGGATTACAGTCCAGCTGTATCAGTTGAGGAACGCAGGCAGGACGGAGGTATATATAGAGGGTAGAGGGAGAGGAGAGAGATATGAGGAGGGGAGAGAGCGAGAGAGGAAGGAGGGGCAGAGCAGGGTGAGGAAGACGGCTAGGCCAGAAGAGACATGAACCACGGCGGGAGAATGGGGCATATTATATTACATCTGTCAACGGCGAGGCCGGACTGGTCGAGGAATACCCGCGGATAGGAACGAGAAGATGGGACCAAGGCAAGGCGAGGCGGCATGGGGAGGACCTGTCTGGGCCGGCATTTTGCAATGGACGGGGGGGTACGGAGCACAGCACTTCAATGGAGGCAAGAGACCGCGGCATCAGCATGCGTGTGAAGGCGTGTGTGTGTGTGTGTATGAGGATGTGTGTGTGTGTGTGTGTGTGTGTGTGTGTGTAAGAGCTATGTGTGTGTGTGTGTGAGTGTGTGTGTGTGAGTGAACAAGGGACCAGCGTGTAGCTGGGTACCCCGTCTTGCTCGGATCAACGCCAAGAAGTTGCAAGCATCAAAACCGATGCGGGTGAGGGAAAAACTCGCACACTGTGACCGGGCGGGCCAACGACGTCGATGCTATTTCGAGGCGGAAGGGACGAAGGGGGGAACATGTTTGTCGGCTGGGCGGCGCTGCAGATGAGGCGGTACCTGTGTACGTACTGCCCGTCGAGGTTACAGCCTCGACGGCAACCTGACAAGACCAGAGACGGGAGCTGCTGGGAAGTGGCAGGCAGAGAGGAAACGGCCGTGGGCGTGGGGCGTGGGCATGGGCATGGGGGCGTGTGGCCGTGGGCGCGATGGACGGGGTTAGACGTGGGGACCTGGTCGGCGTCTCTCTCTCTCATCAATCGCCTCTCCCGTTGGACTTGCCATCATTTCTGTGGAAGAGTATTGGCCAGTTTCTAGCGTAAATTGGTTCTCCCCAGGTACCCATTAGACGGGCCGACCTATCAAGACAGAGACAACTTGCTGTCTCATCTGCCAGGATGCGAGTATGGATATCTGACAACAAGGGGAAGCCAGCGTGAGTCGTGCGTTTCGACGGGAAACTCTCTAGTGACTTCGCCTTGTATGGGGGCAGAGCGTGGAGATGGTGGTAAACTTCATGTCCCCTCCATTACCAAAATAAATGCCTCAGTAGCACTACGGTTGTGCCTGGGCTGGGCGCCGCACCCAAGAAAGGAAAAAAAAAAAAAGAAGACGAAGAGGATCCAGGGCCTGGAGCTCTCTCTCCTTCCAGACATACTGCGTAATTCCGAGATTTCGTCGAACCTGTTCTCGGGCAACACTCCGCGCGCCAGCGCCGCAATACAGCTCCAGACGTGAGAGTCGGCAGAGCTGTGTCCCATCCGTCTAGTCCTGGTTGAGCGAGCGCGGACCCGGACACACCCCCTGGTCAAGGACATGTTCCGTGGGCTCGAAAGGAACAGAGAACAATAGACGTTTGACCATCGGTGGATTTGGGACTCCCCGATTCCCACTCGCACTTCCTCCGATAGGTAGCTATCTACCGTACACCGGCGGGTGCTGTGTATGTACGTACCGTGTTCACCACCACCACCATCACACAGCACACACTTGTGGTGAGGTCTGTTCGTCGAGGGCAGGTACGGTACGTACTGCCAGGAATGCCTCGTCCGGCCCCATGGCCGCGACAGTTTCAGCTCTGCTCCGAAACCCGCATCACGTGATCAGCCTCCATCGCCGCCGCGCCTCTTCGCTTGCATCGTCTTTCTTTCTTCGACAACCAATACGACCCAGGGCTCCCCCCCCGCCGCCTCCCCGTCCGCCTTAGTTCAGGTACCATAGTACTCAACTGGTCGCACTAACCGCACACGATAAGCTTACAGCACGAAAGAGGTAAGAGGTACCGTGGTACCTGAACCTTTTTTGCTCCTTCCCTTACCCTACTGAGTGAGACCCTTTTTTTTTTTTTTTTTTTCTCTCTTTCTTCTCGTCACATTCATCTTGGCATCCTCTCGTTGCAACGAGAAGCCGACGTCCGAATTGCGCGCTTGCATATGTGCAAATTTCTGCACTGACAATGACACGGCACTTGCATAATTGCATCTAATTGGCCTCCTGTCCTCCCGCCCCCCGTCTGCGCCTCTCTCTGCCTATGTCTCTGGTTCACTCTTCTGTGGCTCTCTGTCCTCAAAGTCCCTCACTGCCACCCCAGAAAACTCAGTGCTGTTTCCGCCGTACAGTGCGGCGTGAGGCAACTTGGATGGGCACCGGCACAAAGCTTCTCTGCCAAGCCTCTGAATTGTCATGTCCACGTCTGGCCGTAGGACCGCCGCGTTGTGGCCTCCGGTCCGAGAGGTCGAGAGACGTCGCGCCAAGAAATCCCCGGAATAGACCGCGGCGATGAGCGTTTGGCTATGTGTGTGTGGTAGGGTCCTCCATGGTAACACACATAATGGCCAGAGCCCCCCTGCCCTCCCCTCCCCTGTCCTGCCCCCGAGGCTAACGAATCGCCAAGTCTTGCCTTGGAAACACTCCTGTGCGATCTGCCTCGCGTCGGGCCTTGAGTTGAGGCTATACGTGAACCATCCTGACCACTAATAGCATGTTGCGCGTTTGCCTTGACAGTTTCCCTTTGTTCTTAATTTATTCTTTAATTTTTCTTTTTATGAGTTTTATTTTGGTTTCTGGAATGGGGCGCTGCCCTCTTTCTTTTCTTAACCCAAAACTTGACGACAAAACATACAATGGGGAGAAACCTGCCAAGGCCTGATCCCCGGCCGAGCCAAAACCCCAACCTGGATCGAGTGTAACGGTGTCGTTGAACGGGACGGGTTGCCTGGAACAGCAGCATTGGATAAGGAAGAATTGTGAATAGTGCGCATGCATACCCATCACGCATACTGCGTCCGATTAATGCCAAGGGGGGGGAGGGGGTACATGGGGAAATGGGGAAGAAATCACCGCAATATTGGATGGGGGTGGGAAATGAATTGGCGTTGGGACTTGCGGGTCAAGACCGACGAGGAACAAAAAGCGAGGGAGGTTTTGTGCATGCGGACAGCAGCAGCATCGCACAAGACGATGCGGGATATAGGCCTGCCTTGGTAGAGCATGCTTCACTTTGCTTCATTAACGAGCCTCGAGCTGGGCGTGACGTGACCCTGCCCCGACACGGGACCGGCTTGAGCTTGACACCGGTCCTACAGGACCCAAGACGCCGCTTGGCTTGTTCTGGACGTCATGGCTCTCGCCCCGGAGAGTGGGCGAGTATGGGAAACGGGGAGAGCGCTTACCGGTCCGGGGGGAGGGGGGGGGGGGGGGGGGGGGAGGACACGGGAATAACGAGACGCAATTCGCGCAATTCACGCAAGCTCGGCACGGATGATGCCGATAACCAATTGTGTATTCCGTACGGATACCTGTGCGACCTTCAGAGGGGAGATCGCCTTGGAAACGTACCTCAGTTCAGTAGTAGCCGATAACGACAACGACAATATGGAAAGACGAGGGCAACGACGATAGCAACCGAGCACGGAAGTCGGAGGCGAGATGACGATGTGTGGTGGTGGATTGGATTGGATTGGATTGGATGGATGGACGCTGTTCAATGTGGCAGGTCGGCCGGTCGGCATACCGATCAGCCTGTTTTGCGAACCCCCGATTGTCACCAAGTTACTCTTGATTCCGGCGAACGACGAAGCGGAACTGGGAGAGAGAGAGAGAGAGAGAGAGAGATAGTGGTGGAGGGGCCACCTTCTACCTAGTCAGGCCCCCAAATCCGAAAGTGACGACCCAGTCAGTCGCACCAACGTGGCCGTTGGCACTGTCCACACACAAAGCGAGATTCGTGCGAGCGAGACCCGTCTGACGATCCGTCAAATCTCTGGTGTAATAGCGTAGGAAGTCGCGCGCGCGCTCCACTCCCCAGCAGCTGGGAGGAGCTGGCCTGGCCTTGGAGCTCCCGACTCAGGACATATTGGGACACCGTTCGCGCAATGCATTGCTGGACCCGTTTTTTTTTTCTTTCTCTTTTTCCCATCTCGCCTCTATTGCCTTCCCTTTCTCTCCCCCTCCATGGAAGTGCCTGCCCGCCCCGATAAGGACCACCAGGCACCGCAAGCGCAGCGACGGCGCTAGAATGAAAGAAGGGAGGCGTTCCTGGGGCGGCAGAGCTGGGCGAGGAGAGGGTCCTTGCTTTTCAACGACAAGTCCCCTGCAGAGCCCCAGGGAACCCACCCGAACCCCATCAATCCCCTCGATCTAGCAGGGGGTCTGGAGCTTCACTTGCCGTGGGGGTTATTTGACGTGCTGCTGCGAGCTGAGGTGAGAGATACGGTGCGGGCAGTGGACGCCAAGTCTTGTCTCTCTCTCTCTCTCTCTCTCTTTCTCTCTCCGCCTTGTGCGTATGTGAGGGTGTGTGTGGTGGTGGTGGTGGTGGTGGCTCTGCCTGTCCTGCGGCCTCTCCTCGGCTAGTTTTCTTGCCCATCCTCTCGCGGCCTTGTGACGTCTTCAAGTTGACCAGAATGCGGCCAGAATGTGGCCCTATCCAGCAACTTAATTTCTCGTCCGACCTTTGCATTTCTGCCCGACTGCGGCTGTGAAAAGTTTCCGTTGATGCGCCGGGCCGGCATGATAGGTGAGCGGGAGAGTCGTGGCGATAACATTCATGGCTCAAAGACGGGCACGAAATGCATAAGGGAAATGGACATGGCCGGGGGCCTATCATCACTACCCAGGGCAACTGCGGCACCATAGGCGCAGCAGCAGCAGCAGCCTCGACCACACGCAGGAAGCCAGACAGACACAGACAGACACAGACACAGACATGGGCGGGAAAAGGGCGAGAACGGACTGCATACAACACAACCGGCTTCAGCCAAGGCTCTCTCTCTGTCTGGCTGGTCTGCCACCGACCCTCAGGCCAGCTCTGCCAAGAAATGTCGGGACTGGGACCCGAAAGTTTCTCTCAAATCCCCATATCCGTAGTTGGAGAACATCATGTCGTCCCGAAGCAGACCTGGAACGGGACAGGGACAGGACAGGAAGGAGGGGGGGAGGAGGAGGAGGAGGAGGAGGAGCAGCAGCACCAGAGGGCGGAAAAGTCGATCCGTATTTTGGCAGGAAAGGATTCGTAAAAAAAGAAAGGAAGAAAAAGTCCCGCACGTTCGGTGCAGAAGCCGTGTGGGCGGGTCTTTACGACACACGACAAACACGGCAATTTTGCGGAGCGTTAGACGGCGCACCATGCATGTCAATGGATAGCCTGGCCAGCCATTGGCCAAAGGGGTTTGGATGAATTTCTGATGGGGCCGGCTGGTCGTTGGTTCCTAGGTATTCGTATGGAGGATCCCCCATGCAGCGAGTCGGCAATTCATGTCCTTGCCATCCTCAGAGTTGTGTGAGCGTGTTGGGAACGTGTTGGGGATATGCGCCCGTCTCCATCGTAGTGTACTCCTGATCTTCGCCCGCGTTGCCAAGATGCGACGGTAAAGGGTCGCTGTGGTCAGTTGTTGAAACAGCCAACAACACAGCAGAAGATCAAACATCCAAGGGGAGCAGCGTCGATGAAGAGACGACCCGGGTGGCGTTGCGTTTGGCGTCTGTGCTAGCTAGCGTACCAAGTGCTACGTACCGTATCTCTCCTCTCTCCATTCCAACTCGTAACCAACTACGGAGTAGCGTGTGAGGTGACAGGGATATAGGTTCGAAGCTTTGGACAAGGCCGAAGCTCGCGTCGCACGACCGGGATGGCACTCGGAAACAACCGCTTGGCGCGCGCGATCCGTGGTCTCTCTTGCTTTTAACACGCACTCTCGGCAAAGAGAAGACGAAGAAGCAGACAGAGGAAGGTGATGATGGTGGCGGTGACTATGACTATGACTATGACTATGATGATGATGATGATGATGATGATGATGATGATGATGATGATGGTGGTGGTGAGGAGGATGAGGAGGAGGATGGCGGTAGGGATAATTCGTACAGTCTCCGCCAGACCCCCTCCACCGCCGTGATACTCCCGAAGGATGCGCAGGTGCCCATCCCAATGGCAACGCAGATGCCAATGTTGATCGAACTGTATCGGTGGTATATTCAGCCGAGACTGGGGAGGGCTTGCTGCTGCGTCTTGGGGAAAATCGTCAAGCTTTCGCGCTCTCCGTCCGGTCTTTCTCTCGTGGTATCGATTATCTCGCCTGACGAAGTAATCTCGTCCAGGAGCGAAGGTTTCCCAGCCCGGACCTTGCCATTGGACCTGTCACTCTCTCTCTCTCTCTCTACGGATACTCTCGCGCGCGCCCCCGCCCCGTCCTGTCCCATCTTCGCTCGGGGGTTCCAGTTTTTGGCTTTTTAGCCGAAGAGAGAGAAGGGACCGAAATGGCATTGATGGAGCTTCCTCTCCCCTCTCTCTATCACACATCCTTTTGAGGCTAGGCCGAACCAGAAGAACCGAGTGTCGGTCGGAAAACCATGCTTCTTCGTTTACACCAAACCCGCCCCCTTGCCCGCCTTGCCCGCCTGCGCTTTGCAGCTGCAGCTGCAGCTCGCGTCATTACCGAGCCTTTGTGGGCGCGCGCAGGATCGGACGTATTACTACCTCAGTGGAGGAGAAAGCGCGTATTGGTTTTCTGCGCATGTTGGAACGCCAAATGCGGGACCGGGAAGTGCACCCACATGGCACAGCGCACCCACAAAAGCCACTGTCGTGTGCATGTGTGTGTGTGTGTGTGTGTGTGTACCTTGGGTAAACTATGTATGGTATACGTGCCCGGGTGCATCGCAATCGCAACCAAGCCTCGTTGGCCAAGACACTCTCATGCGCTGGCGGGAGATTCGGAGAGCATGCCGGCCACCCGACCATCAGCGAAAACGAAGGTGAATTCGGTTTCGATAATCAAAAAGAGAAGCCCAAGGGAGGAAACTCAGATTTCGTCTCATCATGTCCGAAGATGACGAAACCTTTTCCCTTCGCCGGCTAGTGACGAGGAAAAGCCCCCCCAAGCGCTGCGTGCATCGTGGCTGGGTCATTAAGCCTCCGGTCTTTTCGTAATCTTGGTCGGTGCGTTAATTCGTCATACTTCAGGTCAATTAAGGACAATAAGAACATTACGCACAACTCCGTCCCAAGCTGGCAGGGGGGGGGGGGGGGTATGAGGTCTTGACTTGATTGGTTTTTTTACTTTTTGTTTTTTGTCCTTGGTTGCATGCGCCGGACAAACCTACAACTATACCTACACATATACCGTGTATGCTTGAGGTGAGATAAGGGACCAAACGGCAAAGAAACAAGGCGGAAATCGTTACATGGGAGGGACCCTGCTCATTTGGTGGTGGTGGTGGTGTTTTTTTTTTTTTCCATTATTATTTTCATTATGTCGTTCCTCTTTTCCCTCTCTCGTGTATGATTGGCCCTATCGATTTTGATTTTTTTCTCAATCCCAAGTCAACACCGAAACGCCGAAGACCGGCTGTCTGCCAGACTCCGCTGGGCGGCAACGAATTACGGGACGAGGCTTTCTCTTGGGCGCATCGTTGACTTTGACGAACAGCGTTTGCGATCGCAGGACAGGAAACACACGTCGGCTCGGCCGTCGTGGCTTAGAATGACAGCGAGCAACGGACTCGCTGGACTTGTCTGACGGCTGCAGCGCCAAGAAGCGCCTGTTTTCCTCACGATGCCAATTCCCAATCCCAATTCTCTCCTTCCCAAGACCGCATCGACGAGCTGCGGCTACGCGTCAGAGACAACCCTTCTTCTTGCTTCAACCACACAATCCACTCACGCACGCACGCACGTACGCTCGCTCGCTCGCTCAGCACACCGTCATCACAGAGCCACAGCCCGGGTTTGCAATGCCCTCCATCCCCGGTCTGCCCAGTCTCGTGGCGGGACCCTGAAGACAAGACACCATAGCCCGCCGACGCCGCTGCGCGCCCATTCACACACACACACACACACACACATTTCGTGTGCTCGCTACGCCATAACCCGAGGCGGCCGCTGTGCCGGTGTCGTGCCACACACCGTCACCCGCGAGCGCGGGTACGTTCGCCGACCTTAATTCCCGCCTAGCGCGGCCGGCTTCCGCAGATCTGCCACTAAAGGCCTGATATCTGATTTGACGGCGTCTGCTCATCAAAACTCACGTTGGCTTTTGCTCTCTCCCCCATGCCCTGTTGTCAAGACCGTCTGTGCCTGCCCTACCTGTGTCTGGCCTGGCCCAACGCGAGGATGGGTAGCGTCGGTAGGCGTACGTGCCTTAGTGCCGTGTCAAGATTGTGTCGCGCTGATTCGTCTCCCGTCATCTACGGGTCTCACCAACGATTCAAGCAACAACCCCTTTGAACGTCTCGTTTGAAGGCCTTGGAGGGTTGCGTACGGATAGTCACCGAGATGCACACACCGAGATAGATACGACTGTTCCTCTTATGCAACGACGCCACGCGCCCCCCTCCGCCCCTTCTCTGAGGGTCCCCTTGGCTGAAATGCCACCCGTCCCGTTTCTTCCACGCAGGTACGGTCGCACTCGTCTGCGAATCGTCCCCAGGTTCCTGCATGTCAACGACCAGTCAAGGGTTCAACAAGTCTCCTAGCGTCCGCCGCACAGTTTGGCAAACGACGTCTATGTACGGCGCACAATGTAACCCTCCACGCTCTGCTGGGACCGGCCGCCCCAAAAGAGGAGCGTCTACCCAGTCAGTCGTCCAAACAGAAACGACGTAATGGCGGCAGCAGCGGCGGCGCGTCTGCGAAGCAGAAGCTGGCTGGCCGACCAGTTGGCTAATGTGGGTATCTGGACGGTACGACGCTAGCATTATTTGGCTCATACTAGAACGGGGGGGGGGGGGGGGGGGATGTGACGGTGGGAGAAGGCCCAAGATCGGCATTGTTTTAGCATGTAGTGTTGTTTCCAGCCTGGACGGCAAACAGGCGGTCTGGCTCATCAAATCTGGAGAAGGGCAGGACAAAGACGAAGACGAAGACGAAGACGACGACGACGACGACGACGACGACGAGGCCGCCGCGCGAGATGGATGGCCCTCCTTCCTAGTAGCGGCCCCTCCTCGAAATGCGGTCTGCAATAGATGGCAAATCTTCCAAGTCGTTCGAGGCCGGTTCTTTTTTCCTTGCTTTTCTTTCCCCTCGTCTAATCTTTTATTGTCATTGTTGTTGCCCATTCCGGTAAGTCCAGGCGGCAACGTCCAAGGAAAGAGCTTCCAACGTTTGTTTGATGCGAGCCGCGTGAGATCCAGGGCAGATGCTACCGCTATAGTTACGTCGCGTCGCATTCTCTCCGACCCTCACCCATGGCGGTTGAGACGAGAGAGCTGCCATCGCCTTGCCTGAAACTCAGGTGGACGTCACCTCTCTATCTTTTTTTTTTCTCCTTTCCTTCTATTTTCTGGTTCTCACTTCCCGTCTCCCCCCCCCCCCCCCCCACACACCGATGTATCTCCCGGAACAGCAGGCGATCAGGCATCGGAATGTCTTGCACAATTGGCCAGCCGCGCTAGCGAGCGTTACACACGCATGGCAGAAACAACCTACACTACGGTACCTAAGTAAAGCGAGCCTTGGTCCCAATTCCTGTCGCCGTGCTGCCGATCCAGTGACGTGCGGGATGGATCCCCCCCTCCCTTCTCTCTCTCTCTCCTAAAAACCGGCACGAGACCTTGCGTCTCCATCTAGGGCTCGTTTTCCCAGGGTCCCTGTGGACTGCTGGAGAGCAGCTGGGCCTGGGTGGGGGGGGCGGTCCCTCCTCTCGTCCTTTCTTCCAAATTGGCCATGGGGCCGCGATCGTGTTAGTCGATTCTGTACTCCGTAGTATACTAGTACGTGTAGCGCGCCATGTGGGCCAATATCATCGTGGATTTATCGTGGAAATGCGGACAGTGCATCGTGGATATCGTGGATATCGTGGATATCGCGGACATTCGTCGATGCAAGGTACACGGTATTATTACTGCCTACGGATCCCGTGCTACCTACCTACTACTACTATGTAGGTATTTACTTACCTACCAACGTATCCATACCCATCTCTCCTTTTCTTCTGGTTCTCGGCTCTCCCCAATAGTGTGTTATCGGATCGGGTCATATATCTTTCTCAGGAAGGAAGTAGGGGGGCCCCTCTCCATCTCCTTCGGAACCGCACCGGCGCGAATCTCGGCCGTGGCTGCCGCTGGTTCCCATCGTTGCATCTCTCTGCCTCCATCCATCCGCCCCCCCGAGATAATTCCAGACTGCGAAACGCACATCCTGGCCATCTCATCAAATTCTAGAGATGGTGAAAACGTCATTTGCCCGCGTCGTTTGCCGTCCATGTCGCTCGCGCCTTTCCTCTGCTGCTCTCTTGCAAACCTCTCCCAGTCCTTCTGACCCGCCCCCATCTCCGAAGCGGTCGGTGGGAGGCTTTCTCGAGGACCGAGGCACACGCGCACACACCTAGCCCCCACTCCGCTTTACTCCAAATTTCCTCCAACTCCGGGTCCCCTCTCTCCCCCCTCTCCAAATTCCCCGACTCGAGCTAATAACAATAAAGAAGAATAAAATAAAAATTATTAACAAAAAAGTTAAAAATCGTTTGTTTGTTTGTTTCTCCGTTCCCACTGCGCGGCATGGAGGAGAATGTAGAACAAAATTAAGTTAAGATATGAAAGAAACCCCACGTAAGCCGGGTGCCATTTCGTCGTCGCCGTCGCCGTCGCCGTCGCCGATGCCGTCGTCAGGGCCAAGACCGGCAAGTGATCGACCTCTCTCGTCTATTTTCTTCTTCAGTTCCTGCATGTATGTTTATTTCGGTCACCGCATCTCCCAAGACCGTCCAGCCAAGCATCGATCGCCCCCGCCGGCGTCCAACTCGTTCATTCTCCAAAGTGTGAGCCCACCTTCAGAGTCTCCAGTCTCCAAGAAACAGGGCAAATCAGACGTCGCTCGTCCCCCACGGGGGGGGGTTGGTGCGTTCGGGGTGAATTGCAGATGTGACATCGCTCCCAGAGTTGCTGGCCTTGGCAGAGCCATGAGCTGAATCAGTCCCAGGCGTCGCCAAGTCGTCCAAGTGCCGTAATAACTTGCGGCACGTATCAACTTTCGCCGTTTTGAAAACATGGCTCGTGCCCACCACCCCTTGTTGGCCGTGTTATTTTGGTAAGGGCCAAGCAAGCAAGGCAAGGCGATTTCTCGAGAGGGAGCAAGGTTTGGTAGTTGTCGATCAACACACACGCACACGCAAAGGAACCGCTCAAAACGCGGGAACGAACCTGTGGTGTTCCCAATGCAGCGAACCGACTCGCCCACAAAGCCCAGCCCGGCCGTCTTCCCTCCTGCAACCACCTTCAAACCAGTCTGGCGGTACGAGAAGAGAAAGGGCACGTTCCAAAAGGCAGTCGGTTCCTGGTTAAAGTCATGCGACTCTCCTCTTGCAGTTGCCCCTTTTTGTAGATCTTTTGTTCGAATTCCAGTTACACGACAGACATGAACCATTTCCGTTACCCCCCCCCCCCCCCCTTCTCTGCTCGAAGAAAAAGCAAATGACAAAATAGAAGGAAAAGAAGAAAGGCTAAAGATGCGACACACACACACACACACACACACACACTCGCACATACGCAAAAGGCGGCATTGACAGGATTGGGCCTGCTTTTCCATCATCCCCCGGGATCCAAAACGTCCGACGTCGTCCACAAAACCCGCCAAGAGTCTTCCTCAAGGGAATGTCGCTTCTCGGGATTGTCGAAGCTTTTCCTTACTCTTTTTTTCTTTCTTTTTTTTCTTCCCTTCTCCCCTTCTTCTTTTCTTTTTCTTCTATCGTTGCACGTCGTCTTGGCCGGTCGGCACGATCGGCGCCGAGACTCGTCGTTCCTGTTCCCGCCCCAGGACCTCCCTTCCCGACCTCACGAGCCCTTGCTAAGCATTTTTTTTTTTTTTATCCTCATCTTCCTCTTTCCCCCCTTCTCTCTCATGTCTTCGTCGGCTTGCAGGTCTCTGGGCTAGAGCAGCCAAGAGTGGCTAAGCCAGCAGATGACTTATCCTTCTCTCATTCTCTCCGATTTTGCCTCTTTCGTGTGGTCCGGGTCCCTTTTCCTCCTCCACTGACCCTTCGTCTCATCGTATGCCAAGACTTTGGAGCAAAGGCATATATCCCGCCTCTCGATGCGACCTCCGGTCCGGGGGGAGGAAATCGATCGTCATTGGATGGTTCACTTGTGATGCTTGTTTGACCTGTCTCTCTAAATCAACTGCCCCCATGTTCCACCAACCCCCCCCCCCCCCCCCCTTTCCCCTGACTGCCGCTGTGTCAAAGCTATTTTCTACCTTCTGTTGACTCCCCCAGTTTCGCGGGGGAGGAGCAAGGCGGGGTGGGTTTCTTTTTCCGTTGTGACGCCCCCTTCGCTTCTGGTGGTGGATGCCTGCCATGATTTTCTTCTCTGCACGCTGCTTCCCTTCACATTGGGGGTGACGAGGTGATTGAAAAGTGCCGGACCGGGGGGCAAAACAGTTGTGCGTCGACCCGGTCGACGATCATCGTCCGTATGCCGGGACAACATCTCCCAGACACTACATGAATAGATGGATCGTCTGTGTGTGAGTGAGTGTGTGTGTGAGAGAGTGTGTGTAGATTTGATGAGTGAACCATTGGGGGCTGACAGGGCTGATCGGGCAAGGAACGGACCAGGCTTGTCAACGTAGACCGGTAGATCACTGGGGGAAAAAGGGCGGTAAACCTTTGGTGACATGCAATCTCCATAGAATGAATGTGTTCCCCAGCCACTGTCCATGACGCATTTGCCGGGTGGGATCTTTCTGCGCACAGGAAGAGGGAGAGAGAGACACCGACGCGGATCTTAGACCGGGTTAAGGGCGCTGGTGAGATGCAGAGGCGTCATGAGGTTCCGTGGGGGGAAAAAGATGGCAAAAAGATAGAAGAAGTAAATAAAAAAGGATCCGGATTTGATCACGAGAAGGAGGCGAGAGCAGGCTCTCCCCACTCTCCTGGGCGTTGCTCTTCTGAGGCCAAGCGGACGCGGTGCGAACCGCGCAACGCGTGGCGCGCCCCCCTCAAAGACATCAAGTCCAAGGCCGAAGTCGTGGACGAGACTGAGTGAATGGACAGCAACGACGTAGAGCCCTCTGGGGCAGTGTAGGGCTTGGCATTCATGAGGCGGGGCGGCAATGAGGAACGTTTGATGATTTGACGATAATGATTCGTAACAAGAGCTAATTGTCCAGAACCCCAAGCCCAGCGTTCATTTCCACCAGACCATACAGTACAGGGTAGCCAGAGAGAGAGAGAGGGGGCGTACCCCCAACCCAGACATCGTGATATCAAACAAACATCCGCCACAAGTCGCCGCAACGCCATGCCAAGAGACCATCCCCATCAACGATGAGGATCAACCTCACGCCCCCCGTTCACACACACACACACCCACGCCCAATCCGTTATTGCTGAACACATCCCACGCCACGCCGTGCTTTGTCTCACTTCCCTGCAGCGACGCCCTCAACGAAGCTCAGGGCCTCCTCGGTAGGCACACAGTCGATGGAGCTCGTCTTGTTGTGGAAGGTGACGCCGTAGCACTTGTCGGCGATGTGGACAATCTCGGGCCGGAAAGTGGTGCAGATGAACTGCGTGCCGGCCTCCTGGGAGATGGACTCGAGGAGACTGGCGACGGCAGTGCGGTACTGCGCGTCGAGGTTGGCGTCGACCTCGTCGAAGATGACCATGGGACTGCTCTCCGTCTGCTGGAGGGCGAAGATGAGACACAGAGCACACAAACCTGGGTAGGACATTAGCGATTGTTAACATTGCAACGAGGACGTCATGACCGGGGGGCTTCGCTTACTCTTCTGACCACCGCTGAGCTGCTGGATCCGCTGCTGCTCGTCCAGGGTCTTGGAGTTGAAGGACACGCTGATCCCCACGCCCGTGTAGTTCTCGACGGCGCGGTTCTGCTCTTCGTCCGACTCCGGATCGACGCGACGGTCCGTCCGGCGCTGGATAACCAGACGGCCGTGACCGGCCGGCACCAGCTTCTCAAAGATGGTGGCAAACTCCTTTGACACCTGCTTGAAGGTCCGTTCGATGGCCTCGTCCTTGCGCTGGTCAAGGTGGGCAACGAGCTCCTCGATAGACTCCTGCGAGGCGTCCAACTCCTTGCGTCGCTTGAGAAGCTGGTCCTGTTGCGAGGTGAAGCTGTTGTACTGCTCAAACGCCTTCTTGTTGACGTGCTGGAACTTCTTCAAGGCGTTGCGCACCTTCTTCAGCCTCGAGTCGATCTGCCTGGGGTCCATCCTCTCGTATTTGTCAAAGGCCTCTTCGGGGAGGACGCCGAGGTCCCTGATGGCCTTGGCCGCGTCAGCCGCCTGGGCCGTGTACACCGCCTTCTTGGACATGCTCTTCTCGATGGTGCCGCGCTGCTTGGCTTCCTTCGCGGCGACGGTGCTGCGGATTTCCTCCTGCTCCGCCTTTTTGGCTTCGCGACGGTCGAGCTTGCCGCCCAGCTCTTCGAGCTTCGCCTCAACCTCCTTGATCTTGCCTTCGATAGCGTTGGCTTCCCGCTGCAGCTTCTTGAGCTCCCGCTGGGCCTCCTTAAGGCTGCCGGAGTCGCCAGACGACGTGTTGTTCTCAAAGGCCTGGCTGTTGAGCTGGTCCAGACGCAGCTGGAGGTTCTGGTTGATGTCCGTCTCGAGGATCTGCTTCCGGCTCTCTGCTTCTCTGCGCCTCTTGCTGGCCTCGTTCCACTCCCTCTGGAGTCGCTGCACCTGCGCGTCCAGCTCGACAAGTTGCCTCTCTTCAGCGTTACTGAGAGACTTCTTGAAGTCGGACGCAAGCTCGGATTCGTTCGCAGCAAGACTTTCCGTGAATATCTTCATGTCCCTCTCGACCGCTTCGCGATGCCTGATGGCGTCGTTCAGACGTCTCTTCTCGTGCTCGAGCTGGCCGTTCTTGTTGGCCAGCTCGTGCCGCAAGGGCTCGAATCCGGCTTCCAGCTGCCGCAGCTTCTGCTCGGCCTTCTGCACCTCGCCCATGGCGCGGGTGATTTCCTGCTCCTTCTGCTCGATCTGGGCCCTAATCCGATCAGACTGCTGCAGGAGCCGCTCGTATTCGTCTCGCCATTTGTTGACAGCCTGAACGCCTTCTAGTCTGGACCGCCGGGGGTCGATATATCCACCAGTCATGGCACCCCTCTTGTTCGTGGTGTCACCGTCCAGCGTGATTGCGTCGACGCCGTGGCTTCTTGCGTACTGGCCTCCTATGCTCAGGTTGGGGCACACGACGACTTTGCCGAAAACTTGCTGAAAGGCCTTCTCGTACATTGGGTCGTAGCGGATCTTGCTCAAGAGCGGCACAATGCCGTCTTGTGACCTGGGCATGGTGATGTGCCTTGGGTGAAGGCGGTTGAGTGGCATGAAGGTAAGTCTGCCTCCGTAGTGGGTACGAAGGTGGTTCGTCAGATAGGTCGCCGTCTGGTCATTGTCGACAATGTAGTGGAACATGCTGTTGCCTGCAATCTGCTCGACGGGAAGGCGGTAGGTGTCGCTGACCTCGAGGAGTTCCGCCATCGTGCCATATGCCCCGGGGATATCCTGGTCGTGCTTCAGCCGCCGGATTGTGGCAAGACCGCGAGCGGTATCGCCGTCCATCATAGAGCTCAACTCGCGCTCTGCCCGGTCTCTCTCCTGTCGGGCATCCTGCAAGATGGTATCGAGCTTCTCTTCCTCACGGCATAGAAGCTTCTTCTCGTCGTCGAGTTTGTCCAGTGTCTCTCTCGCTCTGCTCAATTCCTCGAGCAGGTCGTTCCGAGCACCACCCGAGTTTTGCAGCTGCTGTCTCAAGTTGGCGACGTCGCTCTCTAATTGCTTAATCGACCTCTCAGTCGCAACAACATCCTCGTCGGCATCCATCTTGTTCGCCTTGTGGCTCATGAGTCTCGAATGCAAATCCTCGATTTCCGCCCTCAAGTAGTTGTCACGCTCGGCCTTGTTCTTAAACTGGGAGCCGCGACTTTGCTTGGTGAAGAGGCGGTTCCGCGCGGCTTCGGCCGTATCCAATTGCTGCTTCTTTTCCACTTCCTGCTGCTTTCGTCTCGTGTATTCCGGAATGACGTTGTTGAGCTCCTGCTTTTTCGCCGAAATCTCCTCAATGGTCGCCGCGAGGTCGGCCTCGTGTTGCTGCTGAGCCTGGACAGCTGCCGACTGACCGTCGGACAAGGTCTTTACCTTGAGTTCTGCCTTGGCCTTCGCCTTGGCAGTCTCGCGACGATCCTCCTCCAGCTGGCGGCGCTCGACCTTGAGCAGGTCCGTCTCCTTTGTCAACTTGTGGATCTCGGACTCCAACTTGGCCAGCGTCTTCTCGGCCTCCTTGAGCTCCGCGCGTATCGAGTCGGTGTTGTCCAGTCCACTTTGGCGAATGTTTTCGATTCTCTCGAGTTGTTCCTGGATTTGCTGCTGCTCTTGATAGTAGAGCGCGTACTCGAGGCACCTGCGCTCACGATCCTTGTCCTGGAAGCCCCGGAGCTCCTCCTTCTCCTCTTCGAGCTCGGCCAGGCGTTCCTTGATGTAGCCCAAAAGCTCGTCAATCTTTTCTCTCTTGTTATTGGTCTCGTTCATGATCTTGAGCGACTCCGTTCGGCGCGCTTCATAGACCTGGGTTCCGGCAACTTCCTTCAACAGAGTAAGCCGGTCCGACTCTTTCATGTTTGTCAGGGCGGTGACGCGGCCTTGAGGCACGATGTAGTAAGGATTTGACCTCGAGAAACCTGCCGCTTCGAGCAGGTTCACGACATCGTTCTTGGTTACTACTTTGCGATCGACCGAGTATTCATCCTTCTTCGTTCCGATGGTACGGCGTAGGATGACCTCCTTGCCTCCCGTAGGAAAACGCTCGTCGCTGTTGTCGAAGATAATCTCGACGTAAGCAGACATAACCGCCGATCCTGATCCTTCGTGCAACAACGCCTGGCGCTCCTCGCGGGTCATCTGAGTGTAGGCATCGCTGAGAACGAAGCGGATGGCCGCAAAGAAGTTACTCTTGCCGGATCCATTGCGACCGACAATAACGTTGGTGCCGGGGGAGAAGGGTTCGATAACGGTTTGTTCCTTGTAGCTATCACCAAGTCAGCGGGGGTGCGAGGCGGTAGGGTTGTCGCAAAGTGCGCACCTCTTGAAGCCCTGAATAATGATCTGCTTGATGTACATGGTGGGGGAGAGGGTTGCAGCCTCAAGGGCGGCGAACGTGCGCTTTTGAAGTCGCTGATGGGATTCGCGGCGTGTCGCGCAATATTTTCATCGATATGGCGAGGAGTCGTGACCGATCGTTGTTGGTGGTGGGGATAGGCGACGCGTCGGGCGTGAGAGGTCACGGCGCGTAGGTAGAATGGGTGCGCTCGTCCATTTGAGAGGCAGTGCATGCCTGAGGACGAAGTGAGCCGCTAGCAGTGTGCGACATCACAGTGCCAGCTTTTCGCACTGTACGTGACTGCGCGCGCACATGTCAACCAAGTCGCGCTGCTGATATTTCTGCTGGTCTGCACGGCAGTGATGGATTGTTACCATGACTGAAAAAATATATTCTATTGTTCTCAAACTCGCCCAACGTGACATTATGTCCTTCTCAACAATCTACACTGATTCTGATTCCTATGGAGTTCTGGTCCAACTAAAAAGATGCTAGGCCAGGGCTTCGAAGCTAGCGCTCATCACTTGGGGCGTGTTGGAGACTCTCAAGCTCTACTACCAGCCTCCATCCAGGTTTTCAGATCCTTAGCCGGCTTGATGAGCCGTCATTTGCCGGTCAATCAGTTCAAGCATAGATGTCAATATGCACGTTGCGAAATCTTCAGCTCTCACTCACAACCTTTTGCATCCATACTATACATGCCGCAGTATTGGGGCACTCATTTGGCACATTCATTTGAGATACGACTCGATCGCGCCATTGATGAAGTTCTCTCACGCCGCATTAATCTTCAGAGCTACTGACGCGTACCTCGAGCAACGAGGAAGTAGGTATCTGAATCAGCCACACTACATATCGAGATACCGCGTGGCAAGCGTTGGGTGCGGAGAAGTGGGTATGGTTGTCAACCCGCACTTGTCCGAAAGGATTACGAGAGGAAGACCCTCAACGGTTCCGGTACTTCCGCGTTGGCCTCTGTATGTGCCTGTGCGCATGCAAAGTTGTCTGTGTCTAAAGCGCCCGAGGCCAAAGAAAACTGTGATGTGCGGCGATCGTATGAGCGTGTCAGTGTGCCTGAGCCGAACAGCGGCATTCATTACACTGCGATTAGCAAGAAGTTTGAGCTTCAACATGGATAGAGCTGAATCAGTCCCATATGCACCCCGGTCGAGTCGCTGGGAACCTATGCGCACCGACCACAAAAGGCGATGCAGAACATCAGCAGTTGACGGAGATGACCACGTTGCTGGAGAGTATGGTGTCGACGAAAAGAAAGGAACCGAAGCGGTCTATCGGGATCCGAGACCAGGAGGTGCAGGAACGAGTTCCGAACCAGTCGGGTCAGACGTGTACATGCTGATGAACGGTTTCTGGATTGCCCAATCCATTGCCGGGGAAACCCAGAAAAATGGCAATAAAGCCAACCAAGCGTCAGGGGACCAGAACCCCCGAAGGGGTAAGACACCCTCCAGCAAGTCGCCCTGGCGCCACGAGGAATGGGCTGAACGGGTGAGGCTGGTCGGACAGAGGTGAAATTGAGGCCATCGCAATCAGAACATGAAAAGGGATGCGCCAGTGGGAGTTCACAAGGAGACATCGTCAGCGGAGTGTCAGGTCTTTGGGGAGCTGGACATTGATGACCCAAGACGAATCAGAGATGGCGTGGCGCCGGAACGCCAGAACCTTGGGACCCCGGGAGGCGACGCCAAGATTCCCAACCTTACCCCACGTCTTTGCGGCAGCCGAGCCAGCTTATTTCCCATTCGAGGCGTCGGCCAGAGGCCCAGAACTGGTTGCAGCTGCACCGACATGCCTGCGATGATCCTCGCGCCGGCGTGGTTTGCTGCACTTGCAGCCCGCCATCTCCGTTGCTTTTTCATCCATCTCATCTGTCATCAATTGACCCATCCCAAACAGCCAGTCGTCCAGTCATGGTTTGCCCTAAGAAGCCCAATCGTCGGAATTTCTAGTGGCGCAAGGTCGTGAGAGGTTGCCCGCTGCCCAGTGCTGCTGACGATTCGAGGATGTCGCCCTGTCTGTGTGTAGCAGAGGCTTAGACTAGTCTTCAAGGGGTAGCCCGGCATGGGGATGATCCTAGTGCCAGCTGAGAAAGCCGTGGTCCGATCTATCCGTTTAGCTTGCTTCAAGGCAACGGATAGCCTGAGTTCGTCGCCGTTGCCAAAGAGTTCCAGCCTGGAAGAGTTGGTTGAAGACAAAGCCGGAACCAATCTGTACCGTGTCGTTCACGGTTTTTGGGTTCGACAGAGACGAAACATTAAAGTAAGCCCGACAGCCGTCTCACGGACAAGGGATCGAATCAGAAAAATGGCACTTGCGCATCAAGATGCTAGCCCTGGCCCCCCTCAGCAAATTGGCCACGGTCATTGATGATGAGGCCCCATTTCTTGAAAGTGCCGAGCGGAAACACTGGGCGTGGGGATGAATCTCACACGCACACACACACACACAGAGAGAGAGAGAGAGAGAGACAGAGAGATAGCAAGAGACATGGGGGGGAAACTCAAAATAGAAAAGCCCCGAGGGTGCTCGAGGGCCAGCGAGAGCGGTGGTGAACAAACTGTTTCTGGTTTGTTTTTGGGGTTTGTTCCAGAGCGTGCGCGCGGTCGCATGTGTCTCGCTGATAATGGGAGAAGAACGAACGAGGCTGCCTGAACTTTTCATCTGCCATCTGCCTCATTCGGCCATGCGCCATTGACTCGCTCGTCACAGTTGCATACTGTCGGTGTGGTGCGGGATGGATGATGAATCGAAGAGGCGAAATGTAATTGGAACAGAATAGACAACGTATGGATGCCAGGCTCCCATAGAAATGGACTGAAGGATGCAATTGATGAAGGTGTCGTGGAAAGTTGATGAAAAGAGAGAGAGGTTCTGTAGGTTTGTTCGGCATCAACCAGCCAGCCCAGATAAGCATGGCACGGGATATCGAAAGGGAGAGAGGGGACAGAGAAAGAGATGGACGAAAAGGGACGATGGAACGGACAGACGGCCGGCGAGGACTACAACGACAGGTTGCAGGCAGGCCTGACAGGGTTTCTTGTTTGCTGGGGAGTGGAGGCGGACCAGGGACGCTAGACGACGCTAAGCAGATTAAGCGAGGAGCCGTCGCTGGGTGAAGGAACGGCTGGCTGGCTTTCCTTCCATTTTTTTTCTCTCACGGGCCCACGGGTAATTATAAAAGTACTGCAGGCATGCCTTTAAGACTGTCCGGGCCCCTCCACCCCAAAATTTCCCTCCAGAGCGACGTCCCGCGCTGCCAGAAAGTGCTACCCCTTTGACGAGACCCCATCACCCCTAGCGCTTTATTGGCTCGCCTTGCCATCTTGGTCAGCACCATAGGCACCAAACGCGCCCGGTTTCCAAGGCCACATACCTACCCATCCACCTCAGGCACTGACACTCGCAAGCTCATCGAGGTAAGTTCCGTTGGTCTCTCTCTCTCCCATCCATCCATACGTACCTCAGGCAGGCACCATCGCGCACTACATTCCCGCCCTCGCACCTGGCTGGCACCGCATCCCCCCCAATTCCCAATTGTCCATATCTAGGCGCGCCTCTTCCTTCCCATTCGAGGTGTCATCCCTCTCTCTCATCCTGTCGTTCCGAGCCTCACCCTTTTTATAGGCGTCGTTTGTTCTGTTGCTTTGTTTCTTATTTTTCTCGACCCGGCGGCTTCTCAGCTTCGCACCACTTTTGTGGAACAACCTAGCAACAAACCACGACTTCCATCGCTCTTTCGATCAGCTTCTTGGTCGGCCACTTTCCACGTCTTCCACACTTTTTTTTTTTCCTCCTCGATTTCGCGTCCCAAACCGAACAACTTGCTTGCAGCAAAGCTGCCGACACGACGCGACGGCACCGTCTGGATCCTAGTTGGTTCTGATGCATGCATGGTAGTCGCGTCTTTGCACCAAGACTCGCCCTGATCCACAGTGGACGGGATCGCGATTCGCATCCGGCCCCATCGCCGTTACCCGCTTGCCCAACTTTTGGTACGTACCCCGAATTCAAGGTAACTGCATTTGTTCTGCCTGCCCCGATATGCCCGTATCCATCCGCTTCCTTCATATCATCCCCATCTGTCACCTATCCGTCATGGTATGTCTCGGACCGGCACGTCTAGTGCCTTCCTCTCGCTATCGAGATCATCTCAAGGTGGATGCTGCTTTCCCGTGGCTGTCATGATTCAGACTTCACCCAAAGTGCATCACCTCTGTTTTGGGCGTGACGGGATGGCATACACCCACGTGTTTAAACTTCCAAGACCCTCCTTCCTACATTACGTCTCATCCATGCGCTCATGCACCCAACACCAAAGTTCCTTCACTTTTCTTCGAGACCACAGCAACTTGGCTAACTCCGCACGCAGAAGCTCAGCCCGATGATGAAACACTCATCAAATTCATCATAATACACAATGGCGTCGAGGTGCGTTTCTCCCTTGTGATCCTTGCATGATCACCCACTCCCGATCAGCGCAGAACTGGCACTAACCTTGCGGTAACAGACTTGACAGATTGGTCACGTGAGTTCAATCACATGCCCTCTAGTCCACACATCCTTGGAAGGCAAACATCTCTGCTTGGCTCATCTCATTCATTGTCCGACTCGGGCACAGCTGCTGCGATGATGACCATTTTATGAGCGCTGGGCCATGCCACCGCGCCAGACGATGTATATGCTCCTCCTCCCTAGGGCAGTCTGCTAACCGCTTCGCGCAGGATTCTCGAAACGGGCAGCACCCGCCTGATTCGTGACACCGCAGTCAACCAACTTGCCGACTGGCAAAAGCAGCATCCCGATGAGCTCTTCAATCTTCTTGCCAGGGTCGTCCCCTATCTTCGACATAAGGATTGGGAGACACGTTCCACCGCAGCCAAAGCAATAGGCAAGATCATTGAGAATGCGCCGTTGTATGACCCGAATGAGGATGAGGACGTCGTGCCGGTCAAGAAGGACGAGGCCGAGGAGAACGGCCACGTGAAGAAGGAGGAAGAAAAAGAGACGGCGTCTCTTTCTTCCAACGAGCTTCTCAAGCTGGAGTCACTGAATGTAGAGCACATTGTCAAGTATGGCCGCCAGCTCCTGAGGGGTGGCAATATCGAGTATGCTTTGGCCTCATTAGACCCTCCCGCACGACTTGCCCACCAGAAGAAAACACTTAATGGACGGCTCGGTCTACTCGGCAGAGTGTTCGAGGATGCCGAGGTGCCGGTCCTTGTCGAGCAGGATGCTAGCCCGCTCACCCCCCAGGACTCAATAAATGGCCACAACGGAAGCAAGGAAAGCGCCACCTCTCACGGACACAATCAGACGACAGAGGAGGCGGGCTTAAGTTCCAGGCAGCTCAACGTCCTCAAGAGAAAACGGAAGAGAGAGCTGCAAAAGGCGGCGCAAGGAAAGGGCGGCTTTGGGGATCTGACCGTGAGAAGAACCACGACAGCAGGTTCCGAAGGATTCGACGAAACACCAATGGCGGACGCCGATTCGAAACAGAAGAATGGAAAAGTGAACGACTATTTTAACCTGGAGAGGCCGGCGGATGTCGACGAAGACTCAAAGGTTGTCAGCGAGTTCAAGGGGCAAGTGATACCCATCAAATCCGAAATCGAGGTGGACGAAACCATGGAAGGTGCCGAATGGCCGTACGAGCGACTGTGCGATTTCCTCAAGGTTGACCTCTTCGACCCCTCCTGGGAGACTCGGCATGGAGCTGCGATGGGCATTCGGGAGGTTATTCGTGTTCACGGCGGTGGAGCTGGCAGAATACGCTCCAAGTCCCGCGCTGAAAACGATCGATTAAACCAAGCTTGGCTGGACGATCTGGCCTGCCGACTCTGCTGCGTCCTAATGCTGGACAGATTTACCGATTATAGTTCTGACACGTCCGTCGCCCCAATCCGCGAAACCATCGGCCAATCTCTTGGCTCGGTTCTGCGACATATCCCGGCAGAATCGGTCCACGGCATCTACAAAATTCTTTATGGCATGGTTATGCAGGACGATCTGCACCTAGACATGCTTCAGTGGTCCGTCTGTCACGGCGGCATGGTCGGCTTGAGATACGTCGTTGCCGTACGGAAGGACCTGCTTCTCGAGGACAATGAGATGATCGATGGGGTCATTCGCCTGGTCATGAAGGGGCTGGAAGAACACGACGACGACGTGCGGTCGGTGAGTGCCGCGACACTGCTGCCCATGGCAAAGGAATTTGTCACCCTGCGGCCCGGGTCCATTGACGGCCTCATCAACATCATGTGGGGAAGTCTTGCCGATCTGGGAGATGACCTGAGCGCCAGTACTGGTAAGATCATGGATCTTCTCGCCACACTCTGCAGCTACCCCGAGGTGCTCCAGGCCATGGAGACGTCTGCCGCCCAAGACGAAGAGCGCTCCTTCACCTTGTTGGTACCGCGCCTGTATCCCTTCCTGCGACACACCATTACATCTGTTCGCTTAGCCGTGCTGAAGGCTCTCATGACCTTTGCGAACTTGGGCGCCGAAAACTCCCGCGGATGGCTTAACGGGAGGATCCTGCGCCTCATCTTCC